GATAGAGAGCATACAAGTACAAGCTCCTCAAAATTTAGGGAGTCACTATAAATAGCGATGAGGCGCCCGCCAGTGGAAAGATAGCTAATATCATCGACGAGGATAGGGATGTCATTATGCCCGAGGAGGTTACCCTTGAGTCGATAGCACCGCTCCTCGATGCTATTCCTCGTCAGACTGTGCCACTTATTTTTGCCGAACATGATGTACACTGTCGGAAGAGTTGCCTTAATAGAACTTGTGACCTCAACCCGCATCCAGGATAAACTGCGGACATGATGAAGCCCATCTCAGGCTCAATCACACCCATGAGATGCTCGCCCACCGGCGACTTGGAGGGAAGACGACAGCAGGTTGTCTGCTGAGCTTGATGTGAACCCAGCCTATTCCAATTGCCAGTGAAGTGGTGCGACACGCGTCTGAGACATCCCCAGACCGTGTTGTCTGTTGTTGCGCGCGCTCTGCTAGGCAAATGAGACTATGAGAAGTCAGTCTCCGACAAACCATGGCGACACCAACGAAATCCCAGAACATCTCCACGCCGAAACCGCAGCTCTCCCCTCCGAACAGGCTCATGGCTTCGCCTCGACCTGGTACCTCGGGCAACTCGAATCGTCCTCTCGCTTACAAGTCTCCCGCGGTCAAGACTCCAGCCTCAGCGCACGGACACCATATCAGTGTTTCCTCACAACCCTCTTCTACACCTCTGGCCGCAACAGCCGTTCATGATGACCTGCTAGCTCTCAATTCGCCTGCCGCCGCTCTGATCAACGCCCTGGGGACTACAGGACTTACACCTTTGGGAAGTGGAGCGGATGGCTTGGGTATCACCTCAAGTCTGTCGGGCGGACCCGTCAGATCTGCCCCTCCTGTCAACCCGTTGCTCGAACGACTTGCTAGAGCGGAACTGGTTCTGAATTCACTCAAGAGTCGGGCTGCCGGACACGGAATCACTCGTGGAGGGGTGGAGAGAATAGGACAGTTGCAAGGGTTCACCACTCTATGGGACGACGACAATCTCACAATTGCGGGAAATTGTGTTGACCTTGAGATCAACTTCGAAGCTGGCGGCAAAGACGACGTCAGGGACGTGAGTCTCAAGCTCAACATGTCAGACAGCGCCTCCGAAAACGAGGAGCCTCAATTCCAAGAACAAGGCACCCAGATTATTAAGGGTAATCTGCAAAGTCTGGACGCTGTCGGCCAAATACCGCGATGGAGATCATTGGATGCCTTTGCATCCAATCTACAATACCTCAGCCAACTCGATAGAATCGAGAGCGGGGCCCCCTGCTTCAACGCTGTGACCGATCTCTATAATTCATTCCGAATGATCTGGGATGCTGAAAGAGAAAAATTCAAAGGACGGACTCCTAGGCAACATCTGAAACAGGGCGCGGTTGGTAGACCAGTCATGGATCGAAAACCCTGGTTGGGACTGGCAGTGGACTACTGGGCCACCCCCGAGGAACCAAGCCAAAAGCCTGAGGTTGCCGCCAATGCTGAGATTGACAATACCCATCATCTCTACACCGCACGGGTGTCTTGCGAGTCTGGTTTGCCAATGACTGCCGTCACGAAGCAATGGGTCTCTGACCGAGTTCTCGTCGAGGGCCACGAGCCAATACTCGATGTCGAAAACGAGACATGGAAGCCGGACTGGCGAGACCCTGCACAAGATTCGTCAGGCCCAGATCCGTTAGCCAAGGCAGAGGCAGATAATGCAGCCACAGAGAAGCCGACTGACATGGTGTCGCGCGTTTTGAATATGCATTTTCAATGTACCCTTGAACCCGAAGTTTACCTTCCCCTCAACGTAGCGGGCAATCTGAGCGTGGAGATTGCTATGGTGGAGATCAAGCAAGAGCTGACTTCAACATATCAAGCGGTGCTGCATAAGACCTTCGTCGGTGCCGGCGCTGAAGGCAACAGAAACCCTTCACAAGAAAGATGGATTAGAGTCTTGCCCATTGAAGATGACAAAGGCTCTGGCCGGCTGCGACGGCACTCGTACGCCCTGAAATCCTCCCAGCATGCCCCGCCCCTGTGGTGTCATCCTTTGAAACAACTGATATTCACCCATCCGAAACAATTTGCGGCCGTGGTGCCTATTATTCGACAGTATGCCGTCGTTTGGGGTATTTTGCGCAGTTTGGTAGAGTACCAGGGCGACAATCAACAGATGGGCGCATCAAGCAAGGCCCCTTCCAAGGGCAACTGGAGTTCAGAAACCACTCGCCGCCCCTTGAGACGAACAAACAAGAAGTCTTCGGGCTCTGACCTCGATGACTTCGACAACCTCGCTAATTCGCATGGTGAGCTGGATCCCGATCTGCCGTTGCCGATCGACGTGAACATGGATGTGCTTTCCGATATCTCAAAAGCAAAGCTTGATGTATACATTCCCTTGCGCAAGTCGAATAGGAGAGAGCAAAAGCACCCATTTGTATTCTTGTCCCTCAACATCTGCCCGGGTGGAGCAATCGAGGTCCGAGACTTGCGCGGAATCCACGCAGAAGGCACCGAGAGTGAACGCATTCGGTCCAAAATTGTACGAATTTTGGAGACGACGGAAGATATTGGCTTGCTAGTTGAATGGCTTCTCGAACAGAATATCGCACGCAGGTGATAACTTCTGACGCTGCCGGGCCAGGTCCGCAACTCCAATATCTCAGCTTATGTGCATTGAGCAGAAACGACTTCCTCTCGCCACAAATTGATGCTATCTTGAGTGGCAGCTCCTGCGATTGATGACATTTTGCTAAGGCGAAGGATGCTCAGTATTCACCTTGTCATCTCGTCCGTGCAGTCAAGGCCGCGGAGCTAATATACAGACAAAGGAGAGGATCCGTCGCTATGGCCGCTGGGAAATGCCTTGTTCTACCAGCGATAGATCAGCAGGGCAATGTGTGACATTCCCCGGACAGGGGTGCAGCCTTGTGATCAAATGCACCGGGCGAAAGTTGAGTGTACATCGAAGCCGACAGCTAGATACTCCCGTTTCACATCTACATCGGGAATATAGGCATATTCGGACGACTGCTGGCCGAGACGCAGCTCAGCACGACAAGAAACAGCATCCCGTCAACGCAAAAGCCCATAGATCCCAGTTGAAGAGATCAGAAGCGAGCCTCTGTCGTGGTAGTAGGGATGCCATTCGCCCGAATAGGAAGGTTCAGAGAATCTTAAGGAGGCTTTGATGCCATCATCTTCTTTTCCACTAACTCGCCAGGGTCAAGCCGCGGGATTTTCAAGTGTAGAGGACCCTGGCAAGCCTTTACGAGTATGCACCAGTCATAGATAATAGCACCAAGTACTTGTCCCATGTGTTTGTCTGCACTGCGGGGGCAAGGAGGTTAGTGCAAGCCGACAAGCCCCGCAGATTAATGACATTCCTATATGCAGTTCCTGGTTCCGAGCACGAGTATGTCAGCACACTTTTAAGGGCCACCAGGGCTCTCCCTGACCATTAGTGATCAAGTCTCAAGGCCATAGTCGATGGCGCGTATAATCAAATCCACCAATTTCTTGCCTCTTTAGACCTGCTACGATATCAGGCAAGTAAAAATTGACGTTACAGGTTTCTGCTCTGGACACCGTCGACGTCAACTACGACGAGTATATGTATATCTAGGACGATCTTCTCACTGCCACCTTCTTCTCCCGAAATCCAAATCTCAAAGTGTCTCGACAGCAGCCGAACTGGCGTTCCGATCTATTGCACGTATGCAATTGACCCGCAATCATCTTGCGCCTGGATCACTTGCCAATTCAACCAGAACAATGTCCGAGTAAGTAGAGCACACTTCCCCGTTGATCATGCAATCTCTAAGACATTCGCAGTCTCGCAGCACTTGGCTCCAAACTCTTCAGTGCCAACCCAGAATCCCGACCGAAGATTGTGGGCACTGAGAAGCGCGTCAGAGGAGTCCTCAATGGCAAATACATCTTCGACACCACTGCAGCCAAATTAGTGTGGGAGAACGGGTTTTATCCCATGTACTGGATCCCCAAGTCCGACTTCCTCGACAGCGTCAAGTTCACAGAGGACAAACCGATTTCTGGCATAGACTCGTCGACCTCGACGTTGAGCGTGGGCACCAAATCCGTGCCGTCGCTCGTTGTTCCCGACTCGTTCAACTCCGAGCTGGTGGGCTACGTGAAGATCGACTTCAAGGCCCTCGATGCGTGGTACGAGGAGCAAGTCCAGGTAGTCTATCACCCCAAAGACCCGTATCACAGAGTCGACATCCTCCCCTCGGGGCGACACGTGCGCGTCGAAATCGACGGAGTGTGTCTCGCCGACACGGGCTCCGAAGGCGGCGTCATGTCCCTCTGGGAGACCAACTTCCCCGCCCGCTGGTACCTGCCTCGCACGGCGATCAAATGGGAGCATCTCACGCCGAGCGACACGCACACGGGATGTCCATACAAAGGCGAAGCCAGCTACTACAACGCCGTGATCAACGGCAAGGAAATCAAGGACGTGGCGTGGTGGTACAAGAACCCGACCCAGGAGAGTGCCGGCATCCTCGGCATGCTGTGTTTCTACCCGAATAAAGTCGATACCTGGGTCGACGGGAAAGAAATTGCAAAGATCGGAATGCCCACCAAAAAATAGGGGGGAAATCGAAGGAGATGGTGAAAAGCTGCAACTATCGAATCGGATCTTAAAATGACGGGTGCAAAATGTTCCAGGAAGGAGATCATTATTGGATATCTTTAATGAAATGCATCTTATTCTGGTGTCTCAATCAATTTATGTACGTGGAAGGAGAAAGCGTCCTGATAATTACTGTCGAAGCACGGCTGTGATGCCGAAGCGTGAGGCTGGACTTTGCCCTAAAACTACTGGGTAAAGTACATGTGTCGGCTTCCCGACGTCATTGAAGCCCGCGTCCAAGCTCCTCCGCCAAATAATTTTTGTAGACCATCATGTACCCAACATCAGCACCACTTCGTATGTCCTGGGGTTGCCTGGAAAGTAACCACACTCCACCATGAATCTGGCAACAGGAACGCGGACGCTGTGGCGAGGACCGCGACTATTTGTTCAGCTGCGGACTGTCTCGACGTTGTCCAATAACCCTCATATAGTAAGGTCTACGTAAACCCGTACAGCTCACCCGCTACGGAAGCTAACTCGAGTTATTGCGCAGTATGTTTTTAAAGATCCTCAAAACCCTATCGCCCATGTCCTGTCTCTCCTCCCCACAGACCCTCCGACTCGGTCACTAGCCATTGGCACTACCTCCCAACTCCCACCTACGCCGCGATCCTTCACCGAGAACCCCAAATTTCTCCCTATCCTACACTCGGTGATTAGCGAGAATGCCGCTTCCGACCCGGAGGTCCAGTCCCAAGCTGCGGTGATGATATCTTCATCCGGATCCTCATTCTTGCACACGGCTCGTCGCCAACAGACGGGTTCTTCAGGTGCCAGCGACCAGGGCGGCCACGGCAGCGCAGGTCGGGGAGGCTGGTTGCACGTCTCCGACCAGCGACGCATCCCGGATTTTGGACGCATCGCGGAACCAGAAGACATCTTTGGCAGTGTGGAAGTCGATGGACACGGAAATTTTGTCGATGGTCATGGAGGGTATCAGCCCAGTGGAACGTATCGGATATGCACGAATGATGGGATTCTGGGCCTGACGGATTTCATGAGGCAGAAATTGGTCGAGAGGCTGAAGGTGCAAGAGGCGGCGGAGAGGAACAAGCAGTGAGGGACTTTTGACACGACTCTTACGCCGACTGAAAGGTCAAGTGTGAAGAAAAGCACCCATTTGGATCGTGCGAAACAGCCGAGATCCGAATAATACGGACAGATCTCGTACTCCAGAGGCGCGGACTCATATTCATGAGCCGTCCTTCTCATGGAATGGCAGAACCACAGCGGTCGTTAAAACTCTACCTATGGAGACGACTAAAACCGCGCCATTACAGACCTTGACACACCACAGCTCGCACTCATGTTGGGTCCCCTTTGCCACGAGATTAAGGCTCAGCTCGGCCGAGGGATCCCTCAGACATTGGATATCCAGTCTCTCTCTGACAATATCAATGGTCCGCAAAAGTTTCAGGGATAGAGCTTAACTCCTACAAAGATAGGGTTACGAGATGGCATGATGCGTTCTCAAACGTTGAACGAGGTCGACATCAACCCCAAACCAGAATATGCAGAAGCCTCGAGCATCCGAAGCCTCTTTGTATCGTCGCAGCGGATATGATGGCTGGGATCTTTGTACTAGGTTGATGATCATGTACATGGATCACAATCAGATTATATGTAACAACAGCGCGATGGGAGCTGTGCTACAAGGGCGCAAACAGAGTGAGGCATGCTTATGCCGTGGTACCGAATGAGGGGCAATATACAGACAGTGGCATGGCAATGATGACCACAACTTGAGAAATATAATTTCTGCCCCTCCATGCATGTTGTTCCCTTGTGACACTCCCAAACAAACGTCTGAAGGAACCTCTGTAGGCTGAAGCCAATCTGATTGTCCCGTTGGTCGAGATGGAAGGCTCCTTCTTATGCATGCGGGTCATGGCTGGTACCCAATCAGACCAAGTCCGAATGGTGGAAGGAACAATCGTCATTGGCGGATCCGCGTGACCGAGTTAGCGCTACCCGTACTTAAATATGCAAGTCCAGTGCGGGGTATCAACTCTCTCTCTTGTCCGTGCAACTTGGTTTTGGTCGCTGCCTGGACCTCAGACCATCAGCCTTGTTCTTCACGCTCACTTCTCTGTCCCCTCTATTCTGCTCTCTCACTAACCTACCAAGTATCCCATCGTCCTATGTCCTTTCTACTATTTCAGAGATAGCCACCCAACTTAGCCTTCTCGCTTCGTCATGGCTCATCTCGATCTCCCGGCCTTTGGCATCCGCGACCTCAACGGCCCCAAATCACCACCAGGTATCGTTCAGATTACCGCTTCCCAGTACGACAGCACTATTCATAGTGAACCTGATGCCGTCCTGTCCTACATCGACCTCGACGATGGTGAGCTCATCACTGTCGGAAGTTCCTTTGAGCTGCAACAACGCCTAGAAGAGCCGATACCTCCTTCGGTCTCTCCTACCCCCTCCCTCATTCTAGGCAAGGCCCCTGCGAAAGCTGCAAGAGAAGCCAAGGAAAACACGCTCGTGCATATCTTTGACATCCAGCATACGACTGGGAGTGTGGCAGTGTGGAGAGAACATGAAGCACATACCAGTCGGAAACTGCGACCTCGAGCGTCATCGTCGTCATCACATTCAAGTACAAGAGTTTCCCTTCTCCATAGAGCATCTTCACCAGAGTCCAACTCCATGTTCCCTCTTCATTATGAAAACATGTTCGACCCGGAAAGGGTTAACAAAAGTTCTCCTGGACCACCTCAATCAGCGCAGCCCACGGACACTGCCACGGTCAATGAGGGGGCAAGTCATCGCCATTCAGCAGCACACCCGGTTATCTCTGGTGAAGGGGATACACCGATGCAGAAGGATAAGGCCCCTGTCAGTGCCTTCACCCGTCTTGAATCTCACCTGGGCCCTCTAGCCGACTTTCTCGAGTCCACAGCAGACGGACTACGAAAGCTTGCAGAAACAACTGCAGAGGCCGACACGACCCCTGTAGAGAATGTTTTGTCCGGGTTCAAGAAAATTCTGAAAGAGGCCGGGGAATTCGGCCTTGATCTTTTGGCCACACTTGTGGACGAGGAATTACAAAAGAACAGAAGCAATGGGGTCGACGTTCCTATTGGAGCCAACACTGACTCAAACCCCCAGCAACCCTCCTGCCTCTTCAGTGCCACCGAAGAAACCGGGGAGGAAGACAAGCGGGAGCCTCGTGCTGAGACGCCTGAAAGAAAAGTCAGCTTCGTCGAGCCAACACCCTCAGAACCTCTTCAGATGGTGAAGGAGCATGTGGTGCCTAATGGCCTCAGCATTCAGCGCTCATCTTCAGAGGTTCAGACATCAAGCCTGCCTTTATCTGAACGTTCGACCAACATCCAACAGCCCCCTCAGCTCAGTCTCCCTTCCAAACCGAAATTTCTGTTTCCACCCTTGTCAGCTCGTTACAGGACTGCAGATCCTGCTCCTCCCACAGACAACTCCATTCTTGACTCCCCACCATCCGAGTCCGATTTTCTGACCCGATATCCACCATTATCGTCGCTTCGAAAATCCGTCAGTGTGAGCGGTTTGCAAAGCACGCCTGCATCGTCTAGCCATTATCAACCTAGCTCGAGCCTTAAGTCAGTTTTTGCTCGCTATCCTAGTATTGAACAATTGGAAGAGAAATCCCCTGCGAACCTTCAACCCGCTCCCAGCTCGAAGCAAAGATTCAGCCACTTGGTTTCTCCGACTTGGCCCCCGGTCCAGCCGGCTCGCAAGAAGACCGATGTCTACAAAAAGCCCACAGTTGAAGATGAAGACGAGCATGTCCGTTCCCTACTAGCAGATCTAGGAGAGAGAAAAAAGGCTCCTGGCGTACAGGGTGCCCCTAAGTGGCCTACTGTTCCACTGCCTGGTGCCTGGCCTGAGCCAAAGCTCGAGCAACAGCCTGAGCCAAAGCGTGAAGAGCAAAAGAATAAAGAGTCTGCCACCACAGCCGATGACAGTACGGTGTCCAAAGACCTTCCTTGGTGGCTACAACAGGAAAGTCGAGGCCCATTTAGTGGTGGTCTTTCACAACGGGCTGGCAGTCCCGATGACATGATATATTCTCGAGGATCGATCTTTCCACGAAAATCTCAGACAGTCAGTGGCACCAATCCTGCGGCGAGACTCAATGGACCATTTGATCCTCTCGCACACATTCCCGTCCTGCAACCACGTCCCCAACGATCACAGCCAGACCTGTCTGCATCCAAGGTGGGCTTTCTGAATACTAGAGTCAACCCAGCAATGCCCGGCTTCGCACCACAACGGAGTCAGACCCTTCATCATACTGATCGTTACAAGCCACGTGATGCTGCTCCGTACCAGAACCCGCGGTTGAGCTCATGGGAGAACTATCTGAAGAACAATCGCAGCACAACCGCGACTTCCAGCTTGCCCTATTATCCCTTGCTGAACCCCTTCTCTGATTGGCCAACCTCTCGATTCCAGCCGACCTCTACATTCAGTCGTCCGGTCCCCCCTGCGACAAGACCACCTGTTGTCTCGGCTCCGAGGCCACCACGGCCTTTCAATGGGACGCTGCCAAGTTCTGGCCCGCACATGTATTCGCTCACCAGCGGATCACCACCCTCACAAGCACAGCTGCCTCAGGCTTCTCGACCAGAAATTATTAGGGGCGGACCACCCAAAGCCGACGGGTTCTCCATCCCGTCACCCCCGACACTACCTGCCCCTCCTCCGGCTGCCGTGCTCTTCCCACCGACATCAAACAGCAGTTCCATCCCTCGCTCTTCATCGATTCTTTCTCCTTGTCCACCTCCATTCACTCGTCCTCGCGGTCGCTCGGGGGTCTCTCCTCCAGCGCCTTTCTCAAGCAAAAGCGTCGACGACTGTGTCAAAGTGCTGAAAGCTATGGGCTTCGGTGAAGATGACCCGAATGAGCTCGCCCGCTTGAATATCTATGCAGGGGCCGCCGCAGGAGATGTCCTTTTAGCAATCGAGTTGATCGAAGAAGATCGTGAAGCTGCCAAAGAGCTTGGGAAGGGAGAACACATTGAGATCAGCAAGACGACACGGAAGGAGGTCGATGTGGAAGAGAATCCCTGGGAAGATTAGATCAGGGACGTCATGTCGGATATCGAAGCCAGGGCTCTTGGGGGCGATGGTGTATCTCATACCGTAAATGCGAGCGCCATGTGGAAATGCGAGCGGGTCCGGTTTGGGTGATTCCAAACCTGGCCGGATTCCTGGGTGCTTGGGTACCTGGAGCTTGATGGAGCGGATGGTATGAAACTACGATCAAATGGACTACTTTGTATTTTTTTCCGGGTGGGTACTCGGATAGACACTGACGACAACCACACTTTTAAAAGTCACGATGGAGTTGATGGACTAGGTAGGTAGGTATCGGTTCATACTTTCTCAATACCTATAGCTACGTACGAGTTATGTAGGTATCTACTTGACCTACTACATGTGTATATCTTGCTTGTCTACAGGACGTGTGTGCGCGGAGTATTTCCTCCTCCCGGGGGTCTCCCAACACTCCCGAGACTGCGGCTGTTTATGTATCTACTTGTCTACACGTCTCTTCCCTATGGCGACGGGTATGCATTAGCAGTAGCAGTAGCATTTAACCCATGGCATGGTATGGCATAGCATAGCTATCACCAGCCCTTAACAGACTAACAGACAGATATAGAGAGAGGGAGGGAGGAGAGACAGGGAGGATACGCGTAGCTTTGAGCATTGCAGAGAGTAAGAGTAGGCAGTCAATTAGACTTCTTTTGCACGCTTCGAATATCTAGCTCCAGAGGAGGAAGAATAGAGGGGGCGAGCTCAGGACCAGGGGATTGGAGATTGCGGACACGGTGCGGAAGAACAGCACAGAAGAGAAGAGACCGGGAATGTAACCAACATGCACATGGTGCTCTCGTTTCACTAGTGTTTCGGGCTCTCAAACGTCCTTTAACGGATATGTGAGATCACTCGTCGCTCTCGAGCTCGGAAAAATCAATGAAGAGCCGCGTCGAGAATCCTCCTCCTGACGTCGTCGCTGAAACTGGTGGCGACGCCTTCCTGGTCTGTCATGACGTTCATTTCGGCGTCGACGGCCGCTTCGTACGCCTTGAGCACGTTGTCCTCGTCGACCCTGACACCGTCCTCCGCCAGGATCTTGATGCACTCGGAGATGCGTGCGATTTCTCGGCGGGTGCCTTCGCCAATGTCGTCATTCTGGCTCGAGTAGATGGCACTGCTGACCACGTCGTCGAGATTCGAGATGCTCACGCCGCCGCTCATCCTGCCCTGGTCTTCGGCCTGTTCCATGTGCTTGCTCAGCCAGATGTAGCCGTTCACCCCGAGGATGACGTTGACGTCCCCGCCACCTTGGGCACCGCTGTTGATCGTGAAGACCTGTCTTCGACTCCGGACCACGCCGCCCCCACCGCCAGTCCCGGTCACGGCGAGGAACATTCCGTTTCGCAGCTTGCCATATTTCAGACTTCGGGTGTGTAGATTTGCTGTCCCATCACTACTCCTCAGCTGCTGGACTTCTGCAACCACCAAGTCCCCCTCCTGGAAGTAGTTTCGCATCTGGAGTTCATCTGCGGTTGTGCGTCGCCTCAACACCCCACCAGGCAGGTTGATGGATGACAAGGGCAATTGAGCCAGTAACGGCGCCGCCACGTCCACTTTCCACTGGTTCTTTTGGACTTCCACTATGCGACCGACGACCAGATCCCCGATTTCCGGCGTATATCTTGCGCGGAGGGGGGCTACTGAGAGTAATTTGTTTGTCTTTTTCAATGGGCCTGCGAGGGTCGCGATCATGGTGGTTGACTGCTCGGGCATGAAGGTGCCATGTCCCCTATATCTGGGTCAGTAGACTGACTCTCAAATCCGCTTCAAGTTTTCCTCCAAGCCTACCTCATCCATTGTGTGTCGTCCGTAATCACCTCTCCTGGCAGGGCAATCTGTCGAGACGAAGAAGATAATCGGCGGCGCTTTAGCGGTCGACCGCCATCTTCCTGCTCTGAGGCGTCGCTAGACTCGTCATCGTCGCCATAGATGTCCGTCTGTATAATTTCCTCCTCAGGCTCTGGTGGTAGAACAGTTAAACCCATGTCTGCGTTTGGGCTTTACAAAGTACATTTCAAACAAAACTTGGGGAAAATCGAGCGCGGCGGGTTGGAGACGCCGGAACAACTTCGGCTTCTCACGTGGTGATAAGCGTGGGGGCTTGGCACCCCTTATCGAAAATATGAGAAAACGGTCCGCTGAAGTCATCGTCGTCGTCGAAACACTCCACGTCCCTCCATTACGTGCCGACTTCGATCTAGATCAGGTCTTGCCTGCAGAGTCGCGAACATGGTGCGACACAAGAAGGACGGCGCCTCATCCAAGTCCAAAAAGTACTCTACCAGGTCGCGACATACCCCTCGCTCGGCACAAGGTGGCGAGGGTGATAGCGACGCTGTGCCTGAACGCCCACCTTTCAAGGCAGCGTGCTGGGACTTTGGGCATTGTGACGCAAAGCGCTGCAGTGGAAAGAGGCTGATGCACTTTGGCATGATGCGCGAGCTAGCTGTGGGTCAAAAGTTTCCTGGTGTAGTCATCTCGTGAGCAAAGGACTTCTTCCCCTTCTACCATCTCGTCATGTTGACCAAATATCCAGCCCCAATGCAAAGCAGATCTTGTCACCGGCAGATCGAGATTTACTCGAACAGCACGGCGCCGCAGTAGTCGAGTGCTCGTGGGTCAGGATACAGGAAATCCCGTTTTCGCGGATCGGAGGGAAATGCGAACGGCTTCTGCCCTATCTCGTCGCTGCCAACCCAGTCAATTATGGAAGGCCGTGGAGACTGAACTGCGTCGAAGCCCTCGCCGCGTGCTTTTGCATTTGCGGGCATGAGGACTGGGCAGAGATCATCTTGCAGCACTTCCCCTATGGTAAACCGTTTCTTGAGATCAACTCCCAGCTCTTCAAGCGGTACGCCGCGTGTCAGAATGAAGAGGAGATCAAGAAGGCCGAAGAAAAGTGGCTTGCGAAGCTGGAAAAAGAGTACGCTGACAGTCGTCTCAACAAAGATGCTGCTGGCGGGGAAGATGTCTGGGCTGGTGGGAACATGAATAGGAGAGAGGTATACGACTCCGACGATGAAGATGCTGAAGAAGATGAAGACACCGATCCTGACGCAGATGATGAGAATGTCGGCCTACAGCAAGGTGTATCACTGGGGCTGCCCCCTGATGAGGAAGACGATGACGAAGAGGCTGAGATGGCTGAGATCCGCCGCAAGATCCTTGCCTCTAAACCGTTTACCGAGAGCTTCCCCTCGGAACCACCCAAAAAGAAGATCCAGCAGTCGAATCACGAGGAAATCAGTGATAACGGTGCCACGGCTCATCCGTCGACAGAACAGTCCCAGCAGTTGGTTGATTCCGACGCAGAATCAGGTTCTGCCGAGGAAGACTACGACGACTTTGACCAGATTGCAAGTGCGACGCCAGTGACGGACCGGACGGGGATAGTGGCGCGCGAAAGACAGAAAAAGCTCGAACAAGCAAGTGCCTCGTTTTCTCGGACATCGCTTTCTGCCCCGAAAAGGTGGTAGCATCGTAACTTCCTGTTATATCGGTTCTAGGTTCAAAGGCGCATATCTACGATCGAGGAGAATGAAAGAAGCACATGTCAGGAGCAGGGACGACCGAAAACATCGAGCAGGATCGTTTGTCTGAATAGATATCGATTCTTTGTACCTGTGGGGCCATACACTATACCGACGTCTCCAAACACCACGTCAGAGACACCTGCATATGATTTGAATGGACATTTTGTTCTTGGTGGGCATCGGAAAATACAATATTGCCGGAGCAAGGATCGTCAAAAACCCACCAGCGAATTCAGCCTTCTCCCGCTCTGCCACATATACGCGCAGGCGATAGGCGCAGATCTTGCTGAAAATCATATAAGTCTCCAGAGCCGAATCTGCACAACAGTACCATGGAATGGTCACGTGTAACCAGAGGGCGGATAACTTATCCCACCGACGAAACAGGGTCCGATTTCCTCAGATGCAAGAGATGTCGAGGAACTTTGGTGGGTCAAGGATTTTCCGGATACTACAAGTACTATCTTGGATTAGTAACGCCACCGGTTGTCTTTTCCGACCTCACAGGTGCTTTACCTCGACCATCGGCTCCCAGTGACCAGGTGCACTGATATCTCACATTGTTGAACGGCAGATGGACAGAAATCGCCTCGGTCTTTACGTAGGGTCTGTTGGTGTGTATGCATGCATGCATGTATGCCGCGACTCCGCCTTACAACCTCGCACGATCCGTCCACAGGATGGAATTTGTCATTTGCAAGCTCAAAGACTCCGTCTAGTGTGGCCACCAGAAGTCTTACTTTCCAAAGTGAGCTGCGTTGGTCTCGCTAGGCTGCATAAGCGAAGATGTTTCAAAAGTCCATGCAGATGCATTGATTGCTCCCAATAATACGAGGTGGCGACCATCTGACCATCACTTCCCCCGCAGGGTTCAGGCTGGACCGGCATCTCCGATCCAACAAAGTTTGTCCAAGAGATGCATCTCCTCAAGCCTAGCCATATGCCAAGGACTTTTTGTCTTTCCCCATGCGACAGGAGCTTCTTCGCTTGCTTTGGCTCCGTATTAGGCATGGAAGATTGCGTCGTAGGCATGTGTGAATCTGCACCACATTCCCACAACCTTCCTGGTGACCCTGGAAAACTCAGGTTGCCGACCCGCTGGAAATGAGGGGAGGTCTTTCAGACATTTTGATAAGACCCTTGTCTGAGACTCGCAAAAGGCAAAACCCAAAAGCCGAAACTTGCATACCTTTCCCAGCGAACCCTTGTCCGTGGCGGGAGCGAGTTTGCGGACAAAGGAGGCAATGGCGAGGTCGTTGATCCCAGGGAGTTGCAGTGTTCTACTGGAGTAGTAGTTGTCGCTTCTCGACTCACTTGAGCTATTACGGATTATTGGCTTTAGATATAGACACACAACTTGATTTCATTCCATTTTTCACTCGTTATAACCAATCAATGGATGGTACGGGGCAACTTTTCTGCATGCTGTTCGCACGACAAGAGAACATCCTCCCAGGGAACGAAATCGTAGCTCTTTAATCCAAGAGATAGAATATAGCCCATGGCCTCCCAACCTTTTTCCTCAATTAGAACTTTTAGACGAGCTGGTAACAGACCGTCCCACAGTGTCCTAGTCCCCATAGCATCATAATGACCCAGCACGAGTAGTGCGAGTAGAGTAGCCACCCAGTTTGAGGCTTGCAGACAAAACCCATCTCGAAAACAACAACAAAAGGGGGCAGATGGAGGAACAAATCGCCAATCATCCAGTCGCAGCCGACTGCTGCGCCGCAACTATAGACCCGGACCACGGGGGCAGATAGTTATCAAACACGAGGTCGTGCGACGGGTGGTGAGGGTGTCCGTACGGGATATGCGGCAAAGCGGGCATGCCCGGCACGTCGGTGGATGATGACGACAATTGCTGGCCGTAAAGGTGGGACGGTGGCGGTTGTGGTGACGGAGAGGTACAGAGACCCATGTCGACAAAGGCGTCGACTTCCAGGCGCGGTTCCATGAACTGCTCCTGGAAGAAGGGCTGGTGGTCGTGGGCGGCGTGGGACGGCGCCCGTTTTGTCAAGCATGCGTATCTGCCCGTGGGAGACAGCGACGAGGCCAATTCAAACTGGGTCTTCTTGTCCATCTCTTGCGCGGTCCTCGTCGTCGTCGTCATCCCCGGTCCCGTCGACGATGGCGAGCTGCTGGACGTAGATGCGATCGATGTGGCGGAGTGCTTGTCGACTTCCTCGACGGCGTCGCGAGTGTTTGTGTTCGTGGTTTGGGCTTGCGTCTGCACCATCACCATCGGCGTTTTGTTACTGAACAGCCGTGTCGTCGACTGTTCGGGCTCGCTTAAAAAGTTTGGCTCGTCGAGGTTGGGGGGCAACAGGCCTAGTCCCTGCAGGATGTCGGTCGTCGAGACCCCTCCTCCTTTCGACTCGTCGGGAATGTCTCCCGGAAAGCCGGTCCTTCTGCGACAGGCCCAATATAGTCGTTGCAGGGCCGCATCGGTGACTTCTCGCATCTGGAAGTAACTTTGAGGACTTATCAGCCACCACTGCCCCCCAAAATGGCTCGACATGTGAACGCGGATTGGCTCTCTTACTAGTTTCTCGCCTCTCGCCGTCTGGCAGAGTATACACACGGGCTGTCGGTGGCTCGGCAGAGTTTGCACGCTTGGTCCCCGTCACACTGTTATAGGGTTAGTGAGGTAGTCCAAGGCAATACACACAAATTTGGAGGCGGGAATGGACTGACCTTTGCCTTCTTGACTCGGCATCGATCACATCTGCACTCGAATCAGCATCCTTTTTTTTTTCCGAAGTTCCAGATTATCAAAAGGAGCAGTGTACTGTAGTGTAAAACACTGATGAGAAAAAAGACTTACGCTCGAGAAGTCCTGCCTCGAGGAGTCTTTCTCTCCGATTTGGACGTCGTCCTCGTGTTGCCACCCTCCTTCGACGCCGGTTTCAGGGTCTTCATGGTTTTGTGGTTTTTTTTTTAAGACGTGGATTCTCTTGTTGTTGTTATGCAAGACTAAAGCCCCATGCTCGAGAACCCCCCAAACGTCTGTGGGCGCAGCAGGTTCGGGCCTTATATTGTACAAACAAGTCCCCAGCTAATCGTGTGGGCTAGCGCAATGGGAGAACCAAGATTTCGGACAACCATGACGCGTTTTCGCGCGTTGGGCAATTCTGCCCAGAGATACGCTGCAAAATTTCAACGCCGGGCGCATTTGGTTGGTCCGCAGCCACAGGCAGGCACGTTTCGACTAGGATGGTGCCTCGGAGTAATGATGGTGCTATCAGCACAACTTCCGCATCTGGCCTTTTTTGAACGGTGACTACAGGCCTGGTCCTCATAGGTTCGTGGAGGGTCGCCACTTGAGCCACTGAAGTTTAAATGCTCTGGCGCGGGGTGACGTAAAGTGGTCCTTGGTAAGACTTTTGATACTGACTCTTAGAAGGAACAGACCAGGTAAGCCGTAATAGCCGTGGAACTCCATTGTTCGAAGACATGTCAGATACCCTGGCAGGATCTGGGTTGTCTAGTCCTCAGATCTCTCCAGTACTTGCCTGTTCCGACCAAGGCAATCCGACGAGATGCTCGTTCAGGATGTTCCGCTCCTTTGCGCTGTTGGTCTGAACTGAGTGGCGGGATGGATACCGTGCATGGACACTGGCCAATGATTATGCACCTTGGCGTCGGGGAAAATGGAATTTGTTCTATGGTGGGGCAACTGCGGGGTTTTCCGCCTTTGCCCCATTTCCAATCCCATGTTGTCCATGTTGAAAAATATCTTACATGTGTCTTTGTGCATTGAAAACACGTATGGGAGACGTGACAGAACTTTGGAGATATCAAATCATGGCAGTCTCCACTGATTGGTCGTCATCGCGAGGAGCTATGTCGACCATATCGAGCCTCAGGACTTTGAAGGAGAAAGAAACGAGCTGCATTTCCGGTTCTGCTGCGCTCCATTGAGAGACAGCAGTCCCATGAGATTCCTTGTACCATTGTTATGCCGCCAACTCAGTACATAACAGAGGTGTCCCTAGCTCACCTCGTAGAGCTTTGCCTCTTCCAGGTAAGATCAGCTTTTGAGAGTGCGAGGGGAAGAATGTTGGGAGCTTCCTCCCCGAACGGACGCTGTCGATCGTGGCTGCTTTTTCCGGCCCTAGTCTTTGACGGACTCTGCCATACGCAACGGAAATGCTACTTCCTACGCTTTCGGTTGGGGTTTCCCATGGCTCTCACCCCTCTACTTCTCCATTATTAACTATGCCACACCACCTACCACCCCCTCCCTGGGCATCCCAAACCGTGGAGTGGTCGCCGTCTATCACACAGCCCTGCCGGAGAAAACTTCCTGCTGTATCAGGTCATAGATTCGATCCCATCCCTAGGACTACATCCCCCTCCGGGTCATTGATCCGGCCCCCATGCCATGTGAGAGAAGGAAGCCTGTATGGGACGGTGACGAAAGTCGCAATGGACATCTACATCATATCCCATTGACCACCCCCACCCATTGAGGCAGGACAAGGTATACAAGAAAGCTCAGAAACCATTCGTGGTCACACACATGAAGGGTTATATCAATCTTGTTCAGGCAGCATCGACATCAGACGTGATACGATGACTTTGAACACCGATTTCACCACCTCGCCTGTCTTAGCGGATGACGCCAACATTTGGCAGTTTCCATTATCCTCTGGTGCCCCCTACAACGACAGTTACAGCCACCAGTCGCCAGTTTTCAGCGAACATGACCTCTTCATCCAGCCGACAGATACTACTTCCCCCGGGCTGGTTACACAGAGACCTGCGCCCGAGTTTGTCCAACCCCATGACCTTCATCCCCGTGGTCTCGAGGGTTCGACTTCGCCAGCGAGTCAAACTTCGCAACTGGGACGAACCAGTTCCATAGACTCGCCCGCTGGATCCATGTCACTGAGCCACCAACAGCTCCTCCGACGGATGTCCCTGGCCACAATCGACCTAAACGACGACTCTTACCGGCCTAGAAATACCCCGGCGCGACGGAAGAAGAGCACGACTGGCCGCATCGCCCCTCGCTCGGAAAAGCACGCGCGCGAGCTGGAGCTGAATCGCAAAGCCGCAACAAAATGCCGCAACCGTCAAAAGGTGTTTATCGAGCACCTCCAACAGCGGTGCCGCAAGGAGGAAGAGAAAATGCAGATACAGACCTCGCTCGTCTCAGCCCTGCACGACGAGGTCGTCGCGTTGAGAAACGAGGTCCTGCGCCAAAGCTTCTGCGACTGCCGCTTCTTGTCGGGCGCAAATTCGGCCTTGCACTCGTGACACGAAGGTCACGGAAACTGTATAAGATTCCAAGAGGGCGGCAACTCACCGCAACAACACGGTGGTCCGGGACAGCTGTGGGATCTGTTGAAACCGATAAGCTACACCCGAGCTTCCCCTCAACCGTCTTGAAGCTTGAAGCCATCGATTGAGAGTCATGTCCACGTTGGAGCATTCAATCACTGATCGGCCGAAGGAAGAAATGGACTGCTGCCCGCACTAAGGACGAGTAGGAAGAGGAGGAACGAATTAACGCTACAACGACTGAACGAACGTGGGGGAGGGTTATATTGTTTCTAAGGAGGATGCTATACACAGGCCTACCTCACGGGATGGAAGGGAGGGGTGGTCTTGGAATTTTCTTGTGCTTGTATTAGCCAAAGCGACGGGTTGGTTCACTGGAAAAAGGGACTTGTGTCTTGTTTTCTTGTCTTGTAATACCTACCTATCTATCTATACGTTATACCACTATTCTTACAGCACCCCCGGGATCCTATCCATGCGGTCTACCGTACGGGTTTCCAACAATGAGCCGGAATTCTGTCTACCATCCAAGCAAACCCCCTCTCAGATACTCACCACGACCCATCAAAACCATCTGACACTGACATCCCTTTCAGGCAGGCAGGTCAACGTCTTGTATGCAAAGTATTCAGGCCATCCAGGCCATCCAGGCATCTGAGACATTCGCACCTCGAGAATAGCCAAGGGGTATAGGTATAGATATAGGTATAGTGACAGTTGTGGTAATAGCACCGCGTATCCCGACGTGTCCCCGCCCAGCCCTGATATCCTGGACCGTGGATCGTGGGTAAAGGAACGCGCCCTGCGCGGTGAACTAAAACGGTCTGCGACGAGCGGATTGGTCGACACGACACGACACGACATGACATGTCCGTCTCGTCTCGTCTGTCGTCATGACGCGCGCGGAGCGGAATGCGGGAATACCTAGGTAGGTACTGTGGTACTGCATACTGCATACTTGTATTTTTGGACCCTTGTGACTCCCGTAACGCCAGCGGGCGGTTGATTCGGCATCGATCATATATCACAGATCCTAGGTCGTGGGCCCTACTAGGGATCGCAAACCTTGGGGCGTTAGTGGCCTCGTGGTCCTGTGGTTCTGCCTGTAACAGTGGGTTTCGGAGGACCCTGTCCGGCGCGGGATGCGGTGGATTGTGGGCTGTGGGCATGGAGAACTATATCTGTGTGTGGATGGATGGTTGGATGGTTGGATGGTTGGAGGGAGGGAGGGAGGGATGATAGATGATGGATGGACGGCTCACTCTCACTCACAAACCTCTCTCCTTTCAGTTCAAAGGCCACTAAAGAACATGGGAAAGAATACCCATTCTATTCTTACTTCTTGATCCCGAATCAGCCTCTAGGGCTTCGTATCCACCAGCACCAGCATCGTCTCGCTTTTTGGGACCCCTCAAAATCAGGCATTTCTATCAGCTGTGACACACACATACGAACATAAAGGCTTATTAGTATATACAATCCATGATGCACATAAGGCGGATGTTCCTTCCCCAGGTAAGCTCCCCGCCTACAATCTCGGCGTGGCCTTCTCCTTCTTGGCCTCCTCCCTCAGGATGCGCTTCAGGATCTTGCCGCTCGCGTTCTTGGGGATCACGTCCGTGAACCGCACCCCGCCGTCCAGTCGCTTGTACTTGGCCAGGCGCTCGGCGACCCAGTCGTAGACGTGCTGCTCGGTCAGGTTGGCGGGGGCGACGCCGGGTCTGCGCACGATATAGGCGCGAGGAGCTTCGCCGTCGAGTTCCGAGGCCGCGGGGATGCCGATGACGGCGGCGTCGACAATGTCCGGGTGGGTGAGTAGGACACCCTCGATCTCGGGTGGCGCCACCTGGAACCCGCGCACCTTGATCAGCTCCTTCTTCCGGTCCACAATGTACCACAGCTTGGTCTTGCTGTCGCAGTACATCATGTCGCCTGTGTGGTAGAAACCGTCGGCGTCAAACGACTCCTTGTTGGCCTGCGGGTTGTTGAAGTAGCCCTTGATCACGGTGGGGCCGCGCGCGCACATCTCTCCGACGACGTCGTAGCCCGTGATGTCCTTCCCCTCGTCGTCGATCAACTTCAGGTCCATGCCTGGGATAACCCGGCCAACCGACCCCGTGTCGTCGTCCTCGGGCCACGGGAACTGTGTGAGGATGCACGTCGTCTCTGTCATGCCCCAGACCTGCGCGAACGGAGCACCTTCGCCCAAGTACGGCCTGATCGCTGCCTGGGTCTCCTTGCTCAGGGGCGCCGCGCCGGCCAGGCCGTGGCGGATCGACTTTATCGAGTACTTCTTGATGAGCGGGGACATGGCAATGGCGACCGCCATGGCCGACACTACGTAGAATTCTGTGACCTTGAACTTGTCGATGTTGGCGAGGTATGACTCCAACTCGAACCGCCGCATGACGTACGCCCGCTCTCCGAGCTTCAACGTCGTCGTGTGACATCGGGGCGCGATGGCGGCGTGGAACATGGGGGTCGCATACAGGTTGACGGGCTCATATGATTTGTTGTACATCGTGGGGCCGTAGCACAACTCATGTTGAGCGATCAAGTTCCGGTGCGTGGTTATGGTAGCTTTGGGCAATCCCGTTGTCCCAGAGCTGGTCAGTCGAGCCGCCGTCGTGTTT